TTTACATGTTTGATGACAAACAGCCTTATGTTTATAAGTGACAGTTTTCCTGCTAAGTACCTGCATGTCATAAGCATTTGAATTAAAATTACCATATTGAAATCAAATCTGTTTTTTAATTTTTATTTGGTGTGCGTTGGAACAGGGGTAGTCTTATACGGTGAGTATAGCCCAAACTCTATATTTTAACTGGAAAAGTCGGGGGTCGTCTTATACGCCCAGTCGTCTTATACGCCGGAATATACGGTACATCAAAATCAAAGAAACTGTATTACAGCTTAGCACAATGCAAGAATCCAACTATGTCATGCCCAGCATCTTTATTATGTCCCCTTTATAATCCTCCTGTAAATACAGGGCGTAGCTATAATATCTGAATTCTTATGCATTTTAAAATTAAAGTACAAAATTAATTTTTCTGAAATTTCTGCTATAAGCTCTACCTTGACAAAGTGAATGTCATAAAATAAGCAAAAGCACATGGCAGAGAAACTATTCTAAGGTCGATGTGGGAAAAATATGAACTAAATTCCCACTTCATCAACAATGACTTCCATAATATATGCAAACATACACAATTACACAGCATTTTCTCTGTGCACTCTTCTGTGATTGCACTTAGATGTCAGTAAAAAAGTGATCTAATCAGTTATTTCAAGAGATACAAATTTCAAAGAAACTGTTCAAAATCCAACAACAATCCATTCTTATCACCTATTTGAAGACTTCTATTTAATTCCACAAGGATGATACAAAGTTAAAGTCAGCAATAGTACCTGAATAAATATTTATACATTGTTAGATCCTGATTAATCATTATTTAGGAGAAAAATTCAAGGGAAATCAGTTGATCTTACTGGATGACATTGCTATTGCTGACTCAGATCCAAATATTTTAATACACGGGTGTCAAACTCGCCACGTCACGTGACTTGTCGCGACTTTTTTTGTATTGCTGGCAATGGGGTGGGCGCGGCTTCGGTATGATGAAACTGGCCCATGGGCTGGCAGTTTGACACCCCTGCTTTAATAACTTTCATCATGAAGTATCCTGCCTCCAAATGGTGGCATGGTTTCCATCGTTAAAGTAAGAAACATACAGGACACTCCATCCCCAAGATGTAATATAATTGAAAGAAACTCACCAACCCTGAAATAACTAGAAAATTCCCACTACATATGTGATGGAATTCAACTATCTTTGCATCATAGTGGTGGGGAAGTAGTAATCAAGACTGCAGTTTATTGAGTGATTGGTCTCTATTTCAGAGATCTAATTAATTGGAAAATGCAGTTAATTACATGAATAAGTATGATTAAGATTTTGTGAGTTTCTAGGTAAAAACCAGTGTAGTTGAACTAGTGGATCCAGGATCAACTATCTACTTGACCATGGCCTTCACCTAGTGGCTTTGGGCCAGTCAGAATCATTCTCCCAATTCATCTTACAAGAGATTGCCACTATAATTCCCAGTTAGCTTTTAACAAAAATAAGAGATATAAATGCAATCAATTAAGCTGCATGTAGCTTCTTACTGCAATCTACAAAGCATGTTCAACATAAACTGCATCTTCTGAAGTTTTCATCCTGAAGAAATTTTGAAACACTACTTACCTGTCTGGGAAACCTGACGCACCATCCAGAGGACATGCATTTTCAGTCTGTGTCTAGGACTTCTCTATAAAAGTAGCAAGAAAAAAAATGAAGTTTAAAAAAACTTAAAGTAACCAGGTCCATTGGTGATTATAGAAATCCATAACATCATAAAATGCCCTAAATAACGAATATGCTTGCAGGTTCAGCAAAACTCAGATGAGGTAGGTGCTAAATAAATACATGGGGGGAAAGAAAGGATAGAANAATATATTCAATTATCTTGTGTTAGTAAATGCTACTTTCCTACAGTGACACCTACTAAAAGTTTTGAGAAGCAGATGATGCACTTACTATAAGAAGCTCTGGAGGTTGTGCTGCTGAGATGTCGGGTAATATTCAGGCACATCGGGATCCCTGAAGAGTAACAGCAAAAATAGAAACATTCATCCCAGAAGCCCCAAAGTAGTAATTTTCCAACCCAGGTCCCTTTTGATATTGCGTTTTTAAAATTTTTGAACAAACTCTTTCTAGAGCATCCATATAGTCTGGCAGCTATAAGCAACAAAAAATAGCAGAAGAAATGTTGTTGAGTAAGCTGGCTAGACCAAGCAAAAATTAATTGGGCTGCCACAGGAAGAATGGCCCCTCTATTTCCAGGAGAAACCAAAGAGCTCTTCATCCCGCTCGTCAATCAAATCGCAGCTAATACAGGTGGTCCTCGGCTTATAACTATTCATTTAGTGACCTTCTAAAGTCATTTCGACAATGTCAATTTTGGGCTCAGTTGTATTTGTAAGTGGAGGACCACCTGGTATTATGACGAGGATCATCTTGAAACAAACATAATACAATTAGACCACTAGACTTTTTGAAGTATCTTGAGTGTCTATGTTTAGAGGCAACTTATTAGGCACTGAGATAAATGACAAATGACTAATAAGCTAAGCACCAATTAAATCAGTGTGATTTACAGAACAAGCCATAACTGATAAATTTTACACATTGCAGTAGGTTATAAACAATGGTTTACAATTCACAATAGCTGTGTTCAGAAGTTACATCAAAATCAAAGAAACTGTATTACAGCTTAGCACAATGCAAGAATCCAACTATGTCATGCCCAGCATCTTTATTATGTCCCCTTTATATTCCTCCTGTAAATACAGGGCGTAGCTATAATATCTGAATTCTTATGCATTTTAAAATTAAAGTACAAAATTAATTTTTCTGAAATTTCTGCTATAAGCTCTACCTTGACAAAGTGAATGTCATAAAATAAGCAAAAGCACATGGCAGAGAAACTATTCTAAGGTCGATGTGGGAAAAATATGAACTAAATTCTCACTTCATCAACAATGACTTCCATAATATATGCAAACATACACAATTACACAGCATTTTCTCTGTGCACTCTTCTGTGATTGCACTTAGATGTCAGTAAAAAAGTGATCTAATCAGTTATTTCAAGAGATACAAATTTCAAAGAAACTGTTCAAAATCCAACAACAATCCATTCTTATCACCTATTTGAAGACTTCTATTTAATTCCACAAGGATGATACAAAGTTAAAGTCAGCAATAGTACCTGAATAAATATTTATACATTGTTAGATCCTGATTAATCATTATTTAGGAGAAAAATTCAAGGGAAATCAGTTCATCTTACTGGATGACATTGCTATTGCTGACTCAGATCCAAATATTTTAATACACGGGTGTCAAACTCGCCACGTCACGTGACTTGTCGCGACTTTTTTTGTATTGCTGGCAATGGGGTGGGCGCGGCTTCAGTATGATGAAACTGGCCCATGGGCCAACAGTTTGACACCCCTGCTTTAATAACTTTCATCATGAAGTATCCTGCCTCCAAATGGTGGCATGGTTTCCATCGTTAAAGTAAGAAACAAACAGGACACTCCATCCCCAAGATGTAATATAATTGAAAGAAACTCACCAACCCTGAAATAACTAGAAAATTCCCACTACGTATGTGATGGAATTCAACTATCTTTGCATCATAGTGGTGGGGAAGTAGTAATCAAGACTGCAGTTTATTGAGTGATTGGTCTCTATTTCAGAGATCAATTAACTGGAAAATGCAGTTAATTACATGAATAAGTAGGATTAAGATTTTGTGAGTTTCTAGGTAAAAACCAGTGTAGTTGAACTAGTGGATCCAGGATCAACTATCTACTTGACCATGGCCTTCACCTAGTGGCTTTGGGCCAGTCAGAATCATTCTCCCAATTCATCTTACAAGAGATTGCCACTATAATTCCCAGTTAGCTTTTAACAAAAATAAGAGATATAAATGCAATCAATTAAGCTGCATGTAGCTTCTTACTGCAATCTACAAAGCATGTTCAACATAAACTGCATCTTCTGAAGTTTTCATCCTTAAGAAATTTTGAAACACTACTTACCTGTCTGGGAAACCTGACGCACCATCCAGAGGACATGCATTTTCACTCTGTGTCTAGGACTTCTCTATAAAAGTAGCAAGAAAAAAAATGAAGTTTAAAAAAACTTAAAGTAACCAGGTCCATTGGTGATTATAGAAATCCATAACATCATAAAATGCCCTAAATAACGAATATGCTTGCAGGTTCAGCAAAACTCAGATGAGGTAGGTGCTAAATAAATACATGGGGGGAAAGAAAGGATAGAAACTAAATACATTCAATTAAAAATAACTTAAAGTCTTGTGTGACAACATTTCAAGTTCACAAGACACAGCATTACTCGTCTATAACCCGTGACCATTTATCCACGAATAATGCAGTCCTTGGATTTAAATCTTGACGTTTCTCTGTGAAAGTGTGTCTGAGGCAGCTTGTCAAGTTTGGTTCGATCAGTAGGATTTTATTGATTGCGCTTTTCTCAGCTGCTGGGGTGAGGGTGGTCGTGTGAGAACGTGCACCAAAAATACCAAAACAGGACACGCTTGTTTTGAAAATACCAAGAGCTGCAAACATGGAAAGCGTATCAGAAACTATTCGGAATCCCCAGTCACAGGCCCAGGGCCACCCAACCACGCTGCAAACATGGACAATGTTGTGTGCAGGGCGCTGCTTACATTCAGGGAACAAAGGAGTAAGCGCAGAGAGCTTCAAAGCCACGAGACTCCGCAGAAAACAATCGCCCCTTCCAACTCTTCGGAAGACTTACGCCATCGAACGCCAGACAACAATGTCGCGCATGCGCAAATCGCTTCTTTGCCTGAAAATCTCGCCAGGAGCTTGCGCTAGCACCAGTCTAAGTAACGCATGCGCATTTTTACGTCCTCGGGGCACTCTTGAAGGTCCCAGAGTCCGACGCTACTACGCTTCTCCCCCCCCCCACACACACACACATCTCTCAGAGCAAGAATTTCCTGGCCCCACGGAAAGCCAAGTAGGACAAAAAAAGTCAAGAACTTACCCGCAAAAGCAGTGATAAAAACCACCGTTCTGCTCAGTGCTGCCGACAAGCGGCAAGAATAACTAGGACCAATCACTACTTGGCTGAAAAATCATTGGTTGAAAATGACCCGCGAGAGGCAGGACGTCCTTCGAGCTTTGGTAGAACGCTCGGAAACCTCCCAATATTTGGGGGCGGGGAAAAGGTTAAGTGCCGCCAGTTGGAACTGAGACTAAGTCATTGATTGGCTGAATCATTGTATCATTGATCCACGATTCTGCGTGGATTGGTAGATGTAACTTACCGGGAAATTTTGTAAAATGTTGGTTCGATAAGTAGTAATCTTTCATAATGCTTAGGTTGTTCAGTTTAGTTACACTTAGTAAGCCACTTGTTATTTGTAGGTTGTCACCGGCTCCCTAATTCCCAGGATATCCCATAATCATATTGTCTGGATCGTTTTTTGCCCCCCATCCCAATATTTATATTGGTTTGCGCTGCTTAAGTTCTGCAAAATAATAGCTTTGGCTCGCTTTATCCGTCACAGGGGGAAGTTTGTACACTTCATTTCTACCAAAGCAAATGTATGTCATATAGGGCAGTGATGGCGAACCTATGGCATGCATGCCAGAGGTGGCACTCAGAGCCCTCTCTGTGGGCACACCTACTGCCACCAGTTCATGCAGGCCCATTAGGCCATCGCTGGTGCACGGAGCGTCAGCCCACCCAGCACAAAGGAGGCAAAGCAGCTGGCTAGCAAGCTCAAGTAGAGGTGGTAGAGCGTGCCCCCGTGTGCTCGCTGGCCTCTGTGTGCAGGGGCTGATGGTGTCAGGCAGCAGCCGCCCCTGCCTTGCCTTGCCCCATAGCAATGGTACCCCTGCCCTACCCTCTGCCTCACCCCACAGGACGAGCTTCCTACCCACCGCCCCACCTACCAGAGACCCCTTGGATCTCCCCCAATCATGCCCAGATCCCACAGGCGTCTCCCCCACAAGCAACATCAAGGTGGCCACGCCCACCCCGGCCACGTCCAGTCTGCTGTGACCACCACAGCCACGCCTACCCAGTGGGCCACCCCCACCCCCCCTGAGGGCACCACAATGCTGATGCGGCCCTGGCACTTTGCGATAAATAAGTGGGTTTTGGGTTGCAGTTTGGGCACTGGGTCTCTAAAAGGTTCGCCATTATTGATATAGGGACTTTTGCAGTGTTATATGTCTATGGAGATTCTCGATCATCCAAGTCATGGTTGTCCCAAAGGTGTGTTTTAAAAGGCAGTTGGACTTTCTTGGTTTGGGTCATTTGAATCAGAATGCAAATGGGTGTGGAACCTTCTTGGGACTGCTAAAAAGGACTGTGTTGATAGGCGATGGGTGGTGTCATATGTTGAGAAAGGATTCCTCAATTTTAATACAATGGCCTCTTTGACCCTCTTTCAAACTAGTGCTCCTCTGTCCAGAATATGGACTTTGCTCTCTTCAGAAAAGATTGAGTAGTCCATCTGCATCTGAAAGATGAAGGTCACTTTTCACCTGAGCATTTATTCTTTAAATCTGTTTCCTGATATCTACATTTCAATCAAAAACTCCTGGTATAGGAATTAATTTTTGGCTAATTTTATTAGGTTTTTATTAATTTTATTAGGTAATTCACTATGTCAATAGCACTATTAAATAATTAGTCAACTATTGCATGGTTTGATTCAAGATCTTTATTACAGAAGGAAAACATTTGCCTGAAAATGCAAAGCTACAGGAAATCTCAATAACATTGCAATCTTCAGCAAAATTACATGGAAATCAGTCTCTGACATTGATAGGACGTACTGTAATTTTAAATTGTTATGATTGGGTTGAGTAGTGTAGAAATCACTAAAGGAATAAAGAATCTGAATTATAACATCCTTGCAGGCAAGGATATTGAAAGAAATATAATTAAAGGGGGCATGTCTGAACTTTAGAGCATACAACAGTGGTGGTGAATCTATGGCACGGGTGCCAGAGGCGGCACTCAGAGCCCTCTCTGTGGGCACGCGCGCCGTCGCCCCAGTCCTAGGCCTTCAGCTGGGTTTTATAAAACCTTTTCGCTTTAGGTCTCCGCCGCCATGTACAAAAAAAAAAAAGGTTCAATCAGTCAATTTCAACTTCTCGCGGGGAAAAAAAAAGATCTTGCAAAGTTGGAATTGTTTGATTGAACTTTTTAGTCCCACCCAGTCTGCTGTTACCACCGCAGCCATGCCCACCCAATGAGCCACACCCACCCAATGGGCCACACCCACCCGGCACCCGATGATGCATAAGTGGGTTTTGGGTTGCAGTTTGCGCACTCGGTCTCTAAAAGGTTTGCCATCACTGGCATACAATATAGAAAATGCATTGTCAACAGAATATATTTATGTATAATAACATGCATTAGATCAGCTTTGAATTTCTTTGAGAAGTTGTTTAATGCAGGGGTTGTTTAATGCAGGGGTCCCCAACCTGTAGGCTGTGGCTCGGTAGTGGGCTGTGGCCTACTGGCCACCGGGCTGCAGGACAGGCTGGCCAGTGAGCATGCACATGCGCTTGCACCCCCTCATTTGTACTAGCGATGCGCTAAAATGGGCTGCCACAGCGCCTCGGCACAAAAACGGGCCACCGCCACACCGAGGGGCATGAAAATGGGCATCACTGCACTGCGGGGTGCAAAAATAGGCCACCACACTGCAAGGCACAAAAATGGATGCCACTACCCCATGGGGTGAGGAAATGGGCTACCGCCGCACCGCAGGGTGCAAAAACAGTGCCACACCACAGGGCACAAAAATGGGCTGCTGCCTTGCTGCAAGGCGCAAAATGGCCACCACGCCATGGGACACAGAAACAAGATGCTGCGCCACACAAGAACGGGGCAGGGCTAGTGATTATCACGCGGGTGCTAGCCCTGCCCCATTTGCGGCGCGCATGTGCTTGTGGCCCCATGTGCACACACGCACGCATGTAAAATGCTTCCCCTCACTTTTCCTCCAGTCCGCCAACCGACAAAGGTTGGTGACCTCTGGTTTAATGAATCCAATGTTTAAATATTTGCTAGGAAATAGTTGATCATTTTACAAAGACCCTCCATGCTGCTATCCTTATTGTACAACTATGTTAATCAGAATGATTGCTCCGCTATAAAGAGGAGCTGTACTTGTCCATTTCTAGCAAAGAATCTGAGGCTTGTAGTTTTTTAAGCAAAACTAACTTTATGTATTAAAGGCAAGATGAAACTTTACACATAAATGTTAATTTATGTGTCCTTGCTGGAATTGAGAACATGTCGTATATCCAACAACTGTGCAAAGAGAATTGGAGGGCCCCTAAGTTTTCTAACCACTACTAAATGTTGAATTTATCGAAGGTGGTACAGGATAAAGAAAAAATGTAAGAAGCAAAGATGGTAAAAACAAGGTTTGTCAGAACAGAGTGCTTTTCAAGGATCTTTGAAGGTGATGAAGGTAAATTCTAGGACCAGCTGATGAAGGGGAAAAATCTCTCAACTCTACAGCAAAATTGTTGGAAGACGTTCCTTAAGAACACAGGTGATGTGATTCAATGCCTTACAACAAAGTGCACATGCCCCTACGCTTGACTTCCATAGAAGCGACCGCCATTCTCAAATTGTTATCATTGTATGGTGGGTAGCGTATTCTGTTGATTGCTTCCAGGCCTATGTAACGCAAGAGACAGCCACGGAAGTGAGTAAATGTGTCGAAAGTAAACTTGCCGTGGTACTTGCCAAATCCACTGCATCCTGCAATATTAAAAAAAAAAATTCAGATCAAATCTTGCTGATTCATCTTTCAGCTGACAACACAACCTGAGCAGCCCTTGAATGTATTCTTGTTCATCAGGCTAGATAATAGCTGCCTTTAAAAATCTCTCTCATAGTACTTACTACAAAAGGTTTATATTCAATGGATATTGAACAACTACTCTTAAAGAAGAGACTAAAGAAGAAAATCCCATATAGACAAACAAAGCTTGGTTAGATAATAATTTCCTGGTCTGCTGTGTTTCATGATTGGTGAACTACAACTGCCTCAATCTATATAAATAAAAATGTAAATGTTCGTTTGTTCAAAATCTTAAATCTCTGAAAGTTCTCCACCGATTGCTTTGAAATTTTGACACAACATTGCATTTGAATACGCGCGTGTTTTTATATACCTATATTATATAGATGTCACACCTGTGACATGTAAAAACATGTTTTTTAAAAAAAACAGCGCCATCTGTTGGACGTAAAAGCAACACACTCTTTTACCAGACTGAGCCACAGCAACGCGTGGCTGGGTACAGCTAGTCCCCAATAAAATGAAATTATTGCTTTTGGGGAGGGTTTATCATCTCAAATGTTGATTTACATGGCATGTTAAGAAGCTGTGTTTAGTGTAGCGTATTGAACCAGAGCTGATTATTTTTTTGATCTTGTTAGCACCACTTACAAAATTAAAATGAGCCTCCTCCTATTACAGCTGCTTTCCAGTATAATGTAGACCAGGAGATTTCCTGCTCTCTCATTTTCTTTAAAGATCAGATCATCTGTCATCCCTTGGGTCATCCTTTCAGTGATATTTCCTTACCGGATTCCTCAATGCCTTCAACAGTGACAGAGCTTCTAATATACTGCCTTTACTGAAAAGAGCTGGG